AGTTTGGAAGACAATCTCTAAAATGAAACAAAAGGAACAAAGGTTTTCTTGTTATTCTGAAACCATGAATGAGACATCATTCAAAATAAGGAGAAAGAAAAGAGCTTCTAATTAGTGCTGCCTACAATCAGTGAAGACCTGAGGAACTGTAAGTTAAACAGGAGCAAAACTATTAATGTAGGCAGAATTGTGTTTTGAACTTATTATAACACCAACATTACAACTAAGACATTAAAACTTAGTCTTTAAGTGCCATTTCAGAGTGGAAACCAATTCAGAATAAAAAAAAAAAAGAGCCTGAATGTTTAAATGAGAATTGCAAGCTACAAAATTCATGCACTGAGCAATTTTGCTGCATTTCATAAGAGAAAACTCAAGATGAGCAAACATTACTCTGATTTATATTGCAATAACGTGACATCAGGTGTATGCAATATCTGCATAAATACTGTATCGGCTGATTAATAATACATTTGTTTAAAAATAACCATGTTATTTAAATAGTCCAAATATTGGAACTTTTATAAAAGTTGTATTAGTATTCATCTTAAACCATCTCGGTCATTTTAAAGTAATCCTTAAAAACTACATGCTTGTCAAGAAATAATATTTACAGAAGAAGCTGCCTGGGGAGCAAATGTTAAAGTATGCCAAATAGTCATTTTGTAAAAGGAAGTTCAAAGAACATTTTGGCTTTGGTATTTTAGTTAGATGACCAAATTTCCAAAAACTATTATTTGTAGTTGGAAAGTCACAAAATTACCTTCAGTGTACAAGTTAACTTCCTTACCTTTGCTGGTGAACGCTGTTTCCGTTTCTTCTTCTTTTGCATATCTAAACCCTCTCGTATTAGCTTTTTGTCCCTTTTCTGCTGTTCTGCTACATCGGTAAAGGTAATTTCTTGTTTCACACTGATCTGCTAAGATACCAAGTAAAATGTATTAATTCCATGGAAGATACATAGGCCTGGTTTCCATCCAGTGATAATCCAGAATATGGGGTGTTGAATACTGAGTTACTATACTGTGAAAATATCATATTGTGGTTAACTATGGGTTGCTAACCACAAGCAGCCCAGGAAGAAAACCAAGTGTTTCCTGTTGTTAGAACTATGGGTTGTCATTACATGTTAACATAAAAGGATAAATTGTTACCTAGACCTATGGTTCTTTGAGTAGTCATCTGTGTATTCACACATATTGGGGGGGGTGCACCTGCATGGAGCCTCACTTTAAGAAACTTTTATAGGTGAAGTTCTTTTGACAGGAACTCTCCCCACCATCATAGCACTTATCCAGGTGGGTTCTCACCCTTTCCTGTAGTTTCCTTGAGACTGTCCATTGCAGCTCCAGAAATGAGATTTCAGTATCAACATTTGTATAAGATATTGACACTGATAGCAAAAGTTGACTCAGATTAGTATCACCATCAGACTTGACTCTGACACCAAAATGAAGAAGGTGGGAGATGACCACTTGAGGAACCACGATTACAAATAAGTAACCTGTCCATCTTCATGGTCTCTGTGTAATATACATATTGGTGACTAGCAAGCTGACTTACAGGTGGTGAACCAGTGTCAAGGAAGCACTGCTCTTCCAAAGGAGAAGTCAACTTTGGCATTGCTATAATGTTTGATGAGTACAGATGCAGTCAACCAGGTAGCAGCCCTGCATAACCTGACACAGATACACATGCTCCGAAAGCAGATAAGGTTGTCACACTATGGGTTTCAAGTTTCGAGAGGCCAACTGATAGGAAAGGGCAATCGTCTGAACTCCCCAGGATGCAAGTCTTTGGAAAGAAAGTGGAAGCTTTTTATTTTCACCACCATAGTACAAAAGTAATTTTTGTGACCAATGAAATAATTCAGTCTCAGACTTGCAGAATGTCAGTGCCCAGCAAACATCAAGCTTATGGAGAATGGAGTTTAATGACAAGGGCAGGGAAGTGAAGAAGGCAGGCAATATTATATCATCATTAATGTAAAAACCTTAAACTACCTTAGGCAGGAAAGAGAGATCAGAAGGAAACATGATTTTGTCATTGTAAAGGATCATATAGGGGATGAACCTAGAGTGCACATGATTCATTGGCATGATGAACCAATGTAATTGACAGTTTAAAAAGCCAGTTTCAATGATAATAATTGAAGTCAACTGTAGCCAGAGGCTCTAATGACTGAGATATTAAAGTGTGAAGAACAACAGAAACTCCAGTATACTGTGGGAGAATGAGCTGCTAGAACACTGTTCCTAAGGCCACAAAAGAATTGTCAGGGCAAGTGATGAGAAGAAAATGAATCTTGTAGAGGAAGGTGGTATGTTGAAACTATGGCCAAATAAACATAGAGATGAAGGCTTGCGTTTCCACTTGAAAAGATAGTGTAGCGTTCGAAGCACCTGCTTGACCAGAAATCAAAGGAGATAGAATCCAGACTGAGTTGTAAACAATAAGAACAACTTCCATTTCCTTTCATGTGGTGATCTAGAAGCTGCCTTCTATGCCATGTTAGTTTGATATGGAGGCTCTTACACAGAATGACATGACTTCCTAATAGAGGATCCTCTAGGCTGTAAACCTTAGGTTGTTTATGTCAAATGCTGAATCCTCCCTTTTTCCTGAGAGATGTCATCTGGCCTCCAAGGGAGATGAAGGAAGGTCTGGCTGAAGATGCGAAGTAACTGGGCAAAGTAACTGAGTTGTCTTTTGCTTGAACTCTCATGATCAATGGGAAAGAAAGAGGTTAAAAAATAGGGACCCTGAACACCTCAGAAGGAACAAATCCCTTAAAGAATTTTGGCCTGTAGAGCTTGCTCCAGCAACACATATACTAAAACTGGAACAATACAGAGAAGGATTCTGGCCTGTTTTGACCCAGGTGTAAAACTTGGAGCAGATTGTGTTGTCCAGTGAATTAAAAAAATCCACTTCCTAAAATGTAGTCCAGTATGGTAGGGAACTTCTGCCATTCACAGGAATTCTGTGCTGAATGACTCAGTCTCATATGGAGCCTGGCAAATCAAACAACTGCAACTGAAGCTGCTATAAGGCCAAAGAAATGATGAACTTGAGGAGAGCTGTCATTATGTGATTTGGCTGTAAGGCTGATCAGTGATAAAAACCTGAGTTGTGGTAGGTAAGTTACTGCTCTGACAGAATCAATAAGTGTTCAATATCAAGAATTTTCTGAAAGGAAAGAAGGATAAATTTGTCCATAAGTATTATAGAGACCAAAATTGTTTAAGAGGAAGCAGGTGAGATCAAATGTAGCAAATCTTCAACAACCAGTAATCGAAGCACTGATAGACTTGCACTCCCTGTAAACAAAGGCAGGCACAAACTGCTAACATACATTTGGTAAATGCTCAGGGAGAGGTAGTCAAGCCAAATAGGAAGATGGAGAACTGGTAGGCACAATCATCAATAATTAAGTGAAAGTAACATTAGTTTGACTTCTCTAATGTAACATAAAAGTCTCTTTCTTTCTCTCTCTCTCTCAAATCTATAGAAGGTATTCTGCCTTGCCATGTTGCCTCAATAATGCTGTCAGCGTCCAAGCTATAGGCAGCTGGCTAGCAGACAGGGGCACCTGGACCTAGGCAACCAGACTGGGACACAAGGGCCCATCCAAACCACAAACAGTCCAAGGTCAGAGCCAAGGATAGGAGTACTAGGCAGAGTCAATCCAAGAGGCAAGCATAGCCAAGCAGGTCTGGGCTCACAAAACCGAGGGGGCAATGCCAAGGGGAACAGGTACCTAAGGACTGGAGTAGGAAAAGAAGCAAGCAGGACCAGAAAGCTGGGCAGGGGACTCCACATATTTATATGGGGGAAAGGAGGGGGCAAATTTCCTACCAAAACTCTAATAAGCTAGAGAATTTTCCTGAATACAGGCACAGGCACAGGCCCCGTATGTGTGATGCACAGAGACCATGACGAAGAACCCTCATTGTTGAGACAGCTTCTAGAGAGAAGAGCCAGTTCTTAAATAGCTCTTCCCTCAGGGCTCCCAGGTGGAGCTTGTGAGTTTCCTGGCAGATGCAGCAGCCTGTGGATCCAATCCTGCAACTATCAGGGCTGTTATTCTGGCCTGTGGGCAGAAAATGGAGCCCTGAAGCTGCCACAAATCATGACAAACACAGGGCTGCCTGAAAGCTGTGGTTTAGCTCCTGCATCTTGCCTGACCCTTGCTGCATCTGGTTCCTGATGTCTCATATCACTGGCCTTGCTGTGCCTCATGTAACTGGCCATCTTCTGCTGTGATGTGTCTCCCCCACTGTTATCCTGTCCAAGGTGCCTCCACCTCTGTTTGTATTCCTGGTTCTTGTCCCTTGGCTTGTTCCTGACCACATCCTCATTCTGTTCTCTTGCATTCTTCTGGTTCCTGACCTCAGCCTGTAACATGACTATGATTTGGACTTTCCTTTAACCCTCCTTTGGGACTCTCTCCTTCCTGAAGTTCTGTTGCCCTGGTCCTAATGCCTCTGTTGTTCTTGTCATGTCTTGTCTCTGGCTGCCCATGTCTTGGTCCCAGACCCTGATACCAGGTTAAAGAAAAAAAGTTAAACAGGATCTGAAGATGGGGTTATAGGAAGAAAGTAGAATGAGAAGGAAACAGTCAAAAACATTATTTGTTGGAGTCAGGTTTCTTGCAGCTAAAGCGACAATGAGGTTAGATATAGATGTTTCAATATGAAAGGGGCATATTGGCAAAGGTGGTCCCACCTGATATGAGGTCGAAAGATAGTGGAGACAGTAGGTATACCACTTATGTTGTTTGTAATGGGGCAATCATTGGTTCAAACCTATTTTCCTAGAAGTAGTACGGTATGTAAAAGGAGACCTCTTGAGACAATTCCACAGACCACAACTATGTATGTGTCCTTAAAGCCAACACACTGACCATTTTAGCATCAGCCTGTCTGATATCAAACATTGTTAATCTGTTGACGTGACAGGCTAGAAGTTTCCAGCTGAAACATTCTAGACAGCTCTGGTCCTATGGCATAAAATCGCAGCAGGATCCCTTTTTTTTTTAAATTTTATATATATATATATGTCCCATCACACAGAAGTGATGGTCTTCCTTATCTATTATACTGACTGTGCTCAACGAGACTTCCCTTGTGCTGACTTGACTTGAGTTCTATCAAGCATGTTGGAGGAGGAAACCTGCATCCTTTTCCTGGATGCACATGCTCTTTAGATGTCTTGAGGTTGGACTCATGACTGCTGAACTACAAATAGGTAACAGAAATTGGGCTGATGTCTTGGTACAGATTGGGTTAATGTCTGGGTCCTTCTCCCTTTCCATTGACAGCTGCTTTCCTAGGTCTAGAGATTGTGCCATACAAATAACTTGGTCTGAAAAATGACCAAGGTCTTCAGATTAGGAGGTAGGATCATGAATGCCCACAGCTGTGTTTTCTGAGGATAAGTATGATACAAAGGAAGAACAAGAGGCTAAGTCTGAAGGGTAATCAACAGTTCCTGAGTATGGTTAGACTGTCAATCCATTGGGCTCCAAGAAAGGATTCAGTGAAGTTGACAAGAATCTACTAGCAGTTTATGTGACAGGCATGAGTAGGTGACAGAAATAGTAATCTTAATCCCATGGCAGTCTCCAGTTGTCATAATACTAACAATACCTATGTGAAAAAGACCAATCAGATTGTCACCAATGGACTAGGGAGGTCATTGTGTCTCATGCTGCCCTGTTCCTTGACCACTGGTCTTGGTGTGTCTAAAACCTGAAAGGCCTCTTTCACAGATCCATATTCAAACAACCTGCCCTATTATCTATTGTTACACTTTTATACTGCCCAATAGCCCACTGAATTCTCTGGGCAGTTTACAGATTTAAAAATATACACAGGAATAACAACATAGCCATATTTAGACAACAATAAACAATAAATACAACATCAAATCAACAACCCATGGCCAAGAGTTCCAGCCTCGAACTGTGCCAAAATGGTGCCAAATGTGCACTGAACAGGCAGTGACCTATTCTGTAGGGCCTGTTTTGTAATTGCCCAACAATAAGGGCAGCTGTTAATGGCATGGCCTTCACCCAAACAAAACAGGCAAAGAGAGTGCCCATCAAACAGAGTTGGTGCAAATTTACTCCTGCACTTCACCCATTAACTAAAAGAGGCCTTAAGAGCCACAGGGCCAAAAAAGAATGAGAACAATATCCTGAGCAGAATAAAGCAAAGAAGAATAACAAGAGGGTTGAGGGGAAAAAAAGGTGAAGAAAGTAAGGGCCTGTTTTGTAATTGCCCAACAATAAGGGCAGCTGTTAATGGCATGGCCTTCACCCAAACAAAACAGGCAAAGAGAGTGCCCATCAAACAGAGTTGGTGCAAATTTACTCCTGCACTTCACCCATTAACTAAAAGAGGCCTTAAGAGCCACAGGGCCAAAAAAGAATGAGAACAATATCCTGAGCAGAATAAAGCAAAGAAGAATAACAAGAGGGTTGAGGGGAAAAAAAGGTGAAGAAAGTAAACAAAAACTACAGCTCTAGAAAAATGTATTTGGAAGATTAAAAAGAAGTTCACATGAGGCTGCTGCATTGGCAGTTGAAGAGGAACTAAGGGAAAAGGTAGAAACCTGATGGTAATATACATTCTATGATGGTAGGGTACAGCTCCCCCCAAAAGATATTTAGCTATAGAGGTTTCCTAAAGCCAGACTCTTGCAGGTGCAGAGCCCCATTTGTGTGATGCACAGAGACCACAAAGGAAAAACATGGGTAGTTCATGGGTTTTGCTGAACTACAGAGGCAGCAGGCAAGAGTGGTTGAAAAAATCCATCTGTACTACATGCTGCCACTACAGCACTGCAGAGGCATCTGGGATGGCTCTGAATGAAATGAATAAAGAAGGGAATCAAGCAACACAGGAATTTTTTGAAAAACAACCTGAACTTTTTGTAATTATCTGGCAGACAAATCATAGCTAAGGTGATAATCTGGGCTGTTGTTAAGTGCAAAACCAGGTCAATTTGAGATTTTAAAACAACAACAATACATTTGTAGTTATTTTATACTATTTTGTTCTGTTTGTAGGGAGATACTAGCTTCAAACATGAATGTTCTTATTAGATTATTTGCAACGTATAATTAAGCATTTAAATACAATTTTGAGATAAAACATACACAACTTCTCATTAAAAGCTACAATAATCATTTCATACCTTCCTGCTTCAAATGAAAATACACATTTTCTTTACAGTAAAACAAGCCACTAACAATAACTGAAACCAATGAGACTTCTTATGCAGAAAGGGAAGGCTAGGATTTTGACTGCTAAAGGGGTACAAAGCTGAGGAGAGCACAGACTTTCCTTCCCTCACAGATTTTGCCCTTCAGTTCATTTCCGAAAGCATCTTTCTCTCAGCAAATTTCACTGGGACTGTACTGGAACAAAAGATTTTGAATAAAGCTACAAAAAAATGATCCATGAAAATACTTCCTTTTCTGCTGAAAAACAGACATCTACCTAAAATCCTTTTTCTGTGCAAGTTGTTCCATGGATTTATCAGGTTGGAAAACAAAGCAAAAGCACTCAAGCAAATGCATTTCCCATAAGACTTGAGAAATATCCCTGCCTAATTTTCTGAATTCATATCACTGACATATAAGGGAGCATCATTAACATACAGAGGTACAATTCAAGAAGTCATTCTTCTCATCTACAGAATTAATGTGAATGTAACTACTTTTAAATTCACTTATCAATACTAATAATATGTTGTACTTATTGCTGCT